GAAGATGGGGGAATAAACCAAGTCTTCACACGCAAGAAAGAGAGCCTGGGGTTAGACGAGCGATCCGACTGGTAAATTATCATCATGATGGCAGCATTGGTTTTTTCCAATCATAACTGTAGTGGAGAACTCGCTGAAGTTTAAAATGGTTGCGTTTCCTCCAGTCTTTGTGCCAAACCGTAGATCATTGTAAGTAGTGAACCTGGCCATTTATCGGGGTGATCAGATAGAGACAACTTGATGATGATGACCTCGAGAGAACCAAACTGATAAAGAGTCAGCAACAAGTTGGTTCCTAGAAGACCAATCAGTTCCATATGACTTTTGTACCATGCATATGTATGTATGTATGTATGTATGTATGTAAAAGTTAATGTAAGGACGGTATGAAAGGCGCGGTCGCCAATGGGTTAAACAACTCTCAGATGCCAGGGCTTTGATATTATTGTTGGAAGGGACTTGTTTTTTTTTGCAAGATAGAAAAAGCCATCACTCATTCACACTTACGAGACAGGACCACTTACCAACCTTCAACATCAAGAGAAGTCGCAAGATAGTGCCGCCGTTTGTGTCGGGGTTGGACAAAATTGGCACGGGTGACTAATCTTCTAGAAACATTATAATGCGGCTGAGAAGTCAACTCCCTATCAATTCGGTCCTGTACGTTCTAGAAGCGCATTCCCTCAAGAAGCGCAACCATGAATGACCTGCTCTAATATGAAGTTAGACCTATCGTAAGGAACGTCGGTGGCCCGACGGATAGACTTCATGAATTCTGAATTTAATGCTTCTTCAGCCTTCCAGTTATCTCCCTGCTTACCTTCCCAACACCATCGCACTGCTAAATAAATTGATAACGCTAGGTTAGAGGGAGAAAGCGTGATGAAGTCTATTGACGTCACCACCACATACACTAATGTGTCGAATGACTGCTACGAAAGTAGTATGGGAAGTTCTCATCGACCTTCAGAACTAGTATATTAATTTATGTGGCCTTTCAGTACCCTAGGTCATGGCGTTCCTCAGACAGTGTCTGTGGCATTCGTGGCGAAAAATGAGCAATATGTTTTTGAGCGTAGATCCCTTCTGTACTATCGGTATGCAGATGATTGCTTTATTGTGTGTAGTTTCGAACTGCTCAACCAACAATCGGAACATACAAAGCTTACACGGGAGAAGCCAACGAACGATAGGCTCCCCTTTCTCAATGTCCAGGTTCGGCTGAGTGCAGGTACTTTCAAGACTAAATGGTATCGCAGGCTAGTAGTAAAAAACATACTAGTCCTCTTCTGTTCCGCCGATCCATTAAACACTAAAAAAGCAATCATAAGGAATATGCTGCACACCGCCTCAAGAGTTTCCTCAGAAGACGAAGAGAAAACAGAGTCGATATAACAGGCGTTCCGCATAGCACAGGCGAACGGCTACGAAAGCTCAGGGTTCCCATTTCGCCACAAGCGAAGGAGGGTCGCACAGAACCGTCATGAGGAAAAGGAAACAAAAGCTCCGATTTGTGTTTTATTTATATCAGACGAGTTAAGTGCGGCCATACGATCATGTGTGAAAAAGCAGGTCTTCGGGACATGGTGAAAATCGCGGATAATCCCCTCTCCCCCTCGAACCTCAAACAACGACTGCAAAAGTATAAAATGGCTTCTTGTCTAGGAGAACATAAGATACAATGTTATGGGAACACGAGGTTTGAGGTGACAGCCACGATATTATCACGTGAATCCGGTATTGCCGCGCTGCGAAGTTTAAAGACCTTTCGGATCTCCCTAAGCTTTTCACCTATGCCGTCGATTCCCCGTGAGGTCCTCTCGGCGGTGCGGAGTCAGGGGGTCTATCCAGTAATCGACAGGAGGTAATCGGGCATGGGTCAGCGACGCGCTAGGCCTTATTGTCATGTGGGAAAGCTTGATCTACTGTGATCAGCCCCTTGAAACCCACGGTTGTGCAGGAAAACTATCGTCAGCTCGAAGAGGGATAGTGTATAAGTGCAACTGTCTATGAATCTCGACATGTTTTCTTCTAGTTGTGAGTTTCAATCCTTCAGCTGTGCGAACCGGGATTTTCACATTACTTTATTCGGCTTACGTTCCAGTTTTTCTTCTTCGGAGCCTGAAAACAAGAACCATTTGAGAAGCCCCTAAAGCAAGTTGGCACAAGGTTCACCCTGTTTAAAACCGTGTTCTACCAGCTTGGGTTGATTGGTGCACCGCCCAGGTCAGCTTACCTTGAAGGTTAGTTATCAACTTTTGACTTCGTAGTCCACGCCAAACACGCTCTACCGAATGGTTTCTCAAATGGCTTTTGCCTTTGCAGGCGCCCAAAAAAATAAAAACACGGAAGCATAAGTCGAATAAAGTGTTTTTTTGGATCAGCTAAGGTAGTGAAACTCACAACCTAAACAGTGGTATTCGAGGGGCACAAACACTCACCAAATTCACTCCCAATCGTCATTTGTCGAATAGGACGAGAAGACGTGAGAATGAATGCCGGTAGTCGGCGATTGAATATATTGTGTTTATAATGCCAAATGCCGAATAGCGGAAGCGAATGTAGGAGTAAAGAAGTGGGCTCACATCTCAACATAACGAGGACTATATTTATGAGAGATGATCTATTCACCGATGCTTCTTATACGGAACGGGAACGGAACGAGTATGTCTGAGTGTATCTGAGTCGGGAAATCAACGTATTGTACTGCCTAACTACTGACTAACCAGGGAATAGGGGTGGCATGGGGACCATTTAAGAGCATCTAGGGAGTAGTAAAGAGGACAAAGATCATGCAGCATCGTGCCATCTTTCGGACTTTGCGATTCTTCTTCCTTGACTTTGAAAACTTGGGCTCTTCTATGGCGGGGTTGCAGTCATTGAACGGTGCACAATACAGGGTGCGCCATAAATATGGTAACAGATTTTCGGACGCCCGTAATTTTCTTGTTTGGGAGGTTTCTCCAAATCTGCATCTTCCCTTATGTTTATGATAGACCTCAGACTACGTATTCACTTGCGTGCTCTCATTTCGTCAGATTTCGAAAAACGGTGGAGCTTCGCAGAAATCCGCCAGCCGTTCAGTCTTTGCGCGCATTTGGTGAGTCCCTTGCCGGAACCGCTCCTCGTTTCAACGTTTTCCACATGACAATCTCTTGAATCGCAATGCGTAGACAAGTCAACGACAAACCTCAATACAGTCGTCTTGTCTCACATACGACCCCTTTTCCGAATACCGTTGCTTGGGAAGGGGTACGCTGTAGAACCTGCAAAAACACGAGAAAAATGACTGCTGATTTGTTTGTATGTGCTACTCCGATGAGGAGAGTCTACTCCGAGTAAATACAGTCGTATCCAGATAAGATTCGAAGGCCCTATCAGCTTTTTGACGAGAAGCTCGGGAGAAAAAAACAAATGCCGTGAAGTCTGAGTTTATCGCTGACGGCGCATGAAGAAGACATCTTATAACCGAAGAGCATCGCGATAACATAGCATCGCCGCTTCTGCCACGAGTTGCATCCGAACCGAATGGAGTGAGGCGCCTTTTCATGGCATGCCGTTTACACTTATTTCTCTTTATTTTCGCTCTCCAGGTTGTTTTTTTTCTATGAAAAAGTCTAACTGTGATGTCCTGTGGAAGCCGATTCTGCTAGCACGATTTGAAAGAGGATAAGCTTCAGGTTTCCAGACGAAATTTCAAGGCAGGAGGGGTCATGGTGTGGGCGACAACTTCTTCTCGTTAACGTCTTCATTTATGGCTTGTTCCAAAGAAGCTCAGCTCTTCTTTCTTTTTGGTGTCAGAATCAGCAGCAGAACCTAGTACACATGCAGGATAATGCTTTGACTCCCGTCAACCGGAGCACGCAGGCCCGGTTTAGTCGACACCGAATCGACCTTTTGCCCTGGCCGGCCAACAGCCCTGATTTGAATTCAATGGGAACCATATGTGGATTCATGATAAGGAGAGTTCAAGAAGGAAGCAAGCAGTGAGAGGTATCAGTGAGCTGAAGAAAGCAATCGTCAACGGTTGGGGTACCAAGTTTGCCTCGGACTCGTTGTTAGTCTTTACTTCAGCCTAGACAATCGTATTTGTGCAATAATTCGAGGGAATAGGTTCTCGGTTGATTATTAGTCATGCAACGTCCTCTCTTTGTCGTCATTCAGCTGCTGAATAATTTGATTTGGTCAGTGGCTGTATCATTTTGCAAAATAGGCAAAGCGACCTTTCCCATAGAAGTAGAGGGAAATTTGACCGCGTCGTTGAGATGTAATCGTTGTTGGCCTACAAGTTACGATCCGAGTGGAGCGTAATTTTCATCTGAAGCCTGAACTTCCCTGGAACGTGAGTTTTGAAACTTATGAGTGGCTGTATCATCATGCAAAGCAGAGTGCATTTCGCCCAAACTTCGCTAGTGTAATCTTATTCGGTATGCTCCGTATGCTTATTTCAGGTTATCATAGCGGAAGCCGCGTGTGGGACGTTAGTCACGACTGACATTACTTCGCGCTGTGGTGCGAAGTGACCTCAATCGTAACCAACCTCGTGTTAATTACGCTCTTCCCCTTGACCTCATCTTGCTAATCTTATCTTATGAGAGTGATGGCGATTGATGAGAATAGTGAGAGAATGAAATTAAAAACTTTAATTGTCTTTGGATTTAAGAGTTTTATTCCATGCAAGATCGTAGAAACTTCAACAAAAAATATCCAATAAAATCTAAAAAAAAGCCTAATTTTTCTAATAAGAAGTATCTTAAAACCCACCCGCTTTACCCCGCACTGCGGTACGGGTTGGACCATGAAAGTTTTACGTTGAAAAACTGATTTTCTTGAATTTTCATTTTCTCATCATTCGCCATCACTCTCATAAGTAAGATGAGGTTAGTTACGATTGAGGTCACTTCGCACCTCGGCGCGAAGTAATGTCAGTCGTGACTAACGTCGCACACCCGCGGAATCCTTCTGTCGAGATTGGATGAGCTTCGTATGCACTTGTTTAGGCGAATCCTGGTGCGTGGCTGTTGCGGATCCGCGAGGGAAAGTCGAAAGAAATTTATCGGATATCTGGTCACAGTAATTCGGAAGGAAGTGAAAGCAGTGCAGTCCGTGTTCTCATCGGTATGCTTCCTTTTGTTACATTTTCATCCCAATAATGTTATTTTCCTTTATTCAGATTCGTTTTCTGGTCGTACGATCCGCATTCATGTCTCAAAGAAAAAAGGAATGGGACGGGAAAGTCTTTTGTCGGAAGAAAAGGAGGTCGATGGTGCTATATGGAGGTGAATTAGCAAGAAGCGTATACAGCACATTGCTTTTACGCTTTATTTTCTTTAAGCCTTGTACTGCTTTACTTCGCAGTACACATACTGATTTCAATTCATTTTCCTACGTCACACATGTTATCCTCAAATCTGGGTTTCGATGCCGATTTCATACTTCGTGGAAAGAAACCTCGTTTCTGAAGAAGATGATCCGTTGTTGCGCCGAAAGGGCTAGCCCCAGATCGTCTGGAGTTCCTATTGCCGCCCATGTGGTCCATGGATAAAGGTGTCGAGCAACCTAGGGGAGGCTTTCACCCCCACTGGTGTTAATGTCGGGGCCATGGATGAGTCTCACTGGATATGACGGAGAACTTGAAGGTAGAGGTCAAGCCCCGAAAATTTTTGATATCGGGCTCCAGTGATTGTTTACTAGGACTACTTGAAAAGTAATGCATATTTCATACCTCCGAACCTCCGACAGGAACACTAACTAGGCGTTGAATGTTCCTGCGTGCTTCTTCGCAATCTAGGCAGATGTCGATTCGGGGCTTGACTTTTCGTGTATCATTGTCACATGTAAGTTGCAGAAAAAAAGGGAATCATGGAACATGGAATCAATTATTTTGGAACTAGAGGGAATTAATGGAACTGTGAGTGGAATGTGGTTTTCTGTAGTTGAACGTGACCGTTTTGCTCATAGCTTTTCACCTTAAGTTTTGATGCGTGCAGGCCGTGCTTGACAATTGTGTCCACAGGTCAACAGATCGAACATATGAGAATGAAAGGCGTTGAACTTCGTCTTGTACTTCCTTAACCCATTGGCGACCGCGCCTTTTTAGCGTGTCTGGCGTGTGGGACCAAGCGCGTTTTTCGCGGGCTGCTGCCGTGGCCCGCTGGCGGGCCACACGGTCCCAGGAGCAAACTTATTTTTTGTAAACTTTTTCACCAGACAAAATTTTTTATAAAATTGATGAGGAAGAAAAGATATGTTGTACACAACAAACAGTGCTGTCGCTAAGGCATCAATTGTTGTTTTTTAGTGTTCTAAAAAATATAGGAAACTTCTACAAAATTGTCTCTAAATGTGCCCTAGATCCGACTCCATCGAAACTCAGAGAAACATGTAAAATCAGAATGGCTTATTTCAAATCATCGGCTATATTGTGGCGTGACTTATAAATTTGGGAAAGGCGATGAAAAAGCACACACTTCCATCTGACATCACTTTTATCACAGAACAGCTGTAAATTTCTTCGGCACAGAAAACCTGTATGAACATCGAAAGAATTTAGAAAAGAGCTGAACATCTGAGCTTACTTTGGAATTCTTAAGAAGCATCCTCCTGTGAAGACCGGATATAAATGCCCGAGCCTTACACTCGTCCAATCATGGTTTTATTCATATTCCCTTTGCTTTAGTAGTGTAGTATTTTGCAATGGGGTGGATTCGCTTGTGCAGTTATCCAAGCTTGAGGTCCCCTATAATGTGTAAGGTACCTCAAGCTTGCTTACTTACACCAGTAATAATTCTAACTTTTTACGCCACAATCGCCAACTTGTAAGCCTCGTAATAGGGGAATAGTTTTCTGAGTTATCGTAAGAAGTGCATATAACTTATTAGTTTATAAACTTTGGTCTTGCTCCTTTATCGCTGCCCTCAGAGATACTTTTGTTTTCTGTCATTACTATAGGCGGAAGTTAATGATACTCGAACCACTGCGCCTCAAGATTCTATAGAGGGTTATAGTCCTGCTTTATACTCGGAAGCGTTAAAAAATTGAAAGCGAGTGTTATACATGAAAAATACCACTAAGGCCCGTATACGGGCCACGCGGTCCCAGGAGCACAATATGATGTGGCCAGTATGCGGGCCACGCGGTCGTCAATGGGTTAATGTGATACTTTGCAGTCATTCTGCGAACGACAAAAGGTGAACCCTTCTCGAGGTTAAGTTTAATTGCCAATCATTTTCAAAACGCGCGCAGTGGTAATTCCTCCCTTTCTCCATTAGGCAGATGCAGCAGCAAAAGCTGCATGGATGACGCTAACAACCATAGAGGGGTTTGTAATCGTGAGGCTACAATAATTTAATTGAATACAGAGACATTAGAATACTGTTCTTCCACTTTTATCAATATAGGGAAGCTCGTCTTCTGAGCATGTGCATCTTTGTCCATTCAAGACACATTGATAATTTGGTGTACCTCCACAGAAGTACATGACGAAGCTCAGGACGGTTCATCGAAGAAAACAAAACAAGGACAAAGCGGAACCCGTACTTGAGCTATCCGGGCATTGTGCCCTTATATCTTACACTACCGAGACCCCACCTGCACTCGCCTTCTTAATGTCTTGTATGCCATAGCTTATCGCTACGCAACAACGTGGTTGGCTGTTCAGCCGACGTTAGCATTAAATCATGAAGCTGTAAGCTTTTTCTTGTTTTAACTTGTTTTGACTTGATGCTTTGTTAACTGCTGTTATTTCGAAGCAGTACGTGATACGAAAGTCACACAAAGTTGGCGAGTTGTCCATAACTCGCGAATTTCGTGAGGCTTTCGTATTGCGTACTACGGTGAAATAACAAAAGTTAACAAAGTATCAAGTCAAAACAAGATTGAGAACTAAATCTTCTTCTCTTTCAAAACAGAGTCCCCGCAGAAGTACGTGTCCGTTCTCAGTATGTTCTTCCCGAGTGTATATACAACTACTGTGGCTCATTTTGAAGGTATCGGCCTCTCCAAGAGTCAGGATTTTGAATAAGTAGTAGTATTGACGGGCAGTGGGTGTTTATTGCTCCCTATATCAGATCCTTTTCTCGAACAGAGACCTACGAAAAAGCATTCTGCTCAGTCACTTGGTGAATTTCGTATTCTTTCGTTTTTTTTTTTTGATGTGAGCACTCTACTTCAAACTTCGAGAATGGCTGAAAAACAAAAAACTGGGAAATAGATCTACAGTACTGTTCAAAAAGAAATCACCTCAGACTTGGACCTATTTTGCCATAACTCATCTTGGACCTATGGACCTGTTTTTGGCCGGTTTTTTTTTATGTTGACAACAGTAATGATTCGTAATGTTCGCATCACCGAACTCACAAAACTTCTTTTTACTCCCCTTCGAAAGGCCACTTTTCACATTTTTTCTGAGCAGGACAGAATAACACAACTCTCAACCATTCAAAATATTTAAATTACTCGACTTAAACGCTATCATCATGAGATTGAAACCTAATCAGCTACTAGTCCAATACTTTGTAGCGAAGCCATTGGCTCGATGACGGCTTGGCATCGACGGTACATTGATTCAACCAAATTGTCGATCAGGCACTGGTCAATTTTCTTCCATTCTTCTTCCAATTGGGCGAACTTCTGAGCAGCGGTTGCGGGTATTTCACCGGCTATCTTTTTCTTGAGTTCCTGCCACAAGGGTTTAATTGTGTTTAGATCATTGGACCGACTAGGCCAATCAAAGCATCGGATTTTCCGAGGAGTAAGATGTTATGTATATTGCTGGGAAGTAAATTTTCTGCAGTGCACATTCTAGCAACGGAAAGAGCGAAAATGGCATGCATTTCTGCAAGATGCTCACGTATATCGTTGGTCCATAGTGGTGGGGATACAGTGTCGGGCCCCATACCCCGGCTTGAAGAACATTCCCAAACGAACATTGAACCCCCACTACGCTTGACATTTGGTATTTGGTACTTGAGGTCAAATTTTGTTTTGTCAGGTTGTCTTACGAACGAAAACCTCTGTGTACTAGTCTGACATAGCTACGTGCAATGCGCAGTTTTGCAAAGTCTATGATAGTATAACGTGTTGACCAATAATACCCTACTACACCTCCACTCCTAAGTTGTATCGTATCGGGACCTCTTAGGATCCAGCTGGAGTCGGCGTTGCGGTCGTCGATTGCGTTGCGATCGTCGTAGTGATCGGTCGGATTCGTCCGTGGCGCACGGTCCTTGCTCACACAATCGAAAAGTGGCATATCGAACACAGCTGAAAAAGTGTTTGTAGTTGTTGTTGAGGTCGTAGCTGATTCACGTGTCGGGTCCATAGCAGATTTCCACAACGCACGAGTTAAGTTGTGTTTCCAACACGTCGAACCATGACATCCGGATTCCACTGCTTTGTTCCTCTGTAGTCCTTGGCGTAGACAGTGTCGTTGGGTTCGAACTTGCGACGTAGTGCTCCATGCCTTCGGGTCAGTTGCGTTTCCACTTTGTCGTCTCGCGGTCCATCAGCGACGTCTTCTTGAGGTAGCATCAGAACAAGATCGGTTCGCAGTCGGCGTCCCAGGGAGGCTCCAGCGGGTGAGCGTTGGTCCGGTGCAGACGGGAGTGGACGGGAGTGGAGCGGTAAGCTATCGGAAACGTCTGCAGAGCGTCAACTGTCGATTTCCCCTTCAATTTGGCGAGCCCTCGTCTGAAGGTATCCACAAAGCGTTTAGTCTGTCCATTGCTCTGTAGATGGAATGACGGCGCACGAATGTGTGTGTTTCTTTGGGGAAAGCACAATAGGGCGAACTGCGAAGATGCAAATCACGTCCTGTTGTCCGTGACAAGAGTTGTAGGATTTCCAAATTTTGCGAAAATGTCCTTCAACACTTGGATAGTAGACGTGGAAGATATCGATGACATCTGGACGATTTCAGGCCATTTGGAATATGCATGCACAAGTATCAGTTAAAATCGTCCGTTCATGGGTCCTGCAAAATCAGCGTGCACACGGATCCATGGAGAGGTTGGTATTGACTAGGAATGTAGTTTGGCCTTGACGGGATCCTTCGCCACTGAAGCGCATTTGCTACAAATCGTGACAAGTTGTTCGATGTCGATATCCAGTGTTGGCCAGTGGACTTAGCTTCGTGCTGACATCTTCATCCTTGTCTGTACCGGATGAGCCTTGTGTAGTGTTGTAAGTGCACGGCGTTATAGTGATCCTGGTATCACTATGCGAGATGCGGTGAGTAGGCAACCGTCATTCGTCAGAGTGTCTCGGCGGTTGTAGTAGTGCCAGAAAGGAGAGTTGCGATGAATCGTGTGNATTTCCAGACTTGGCGTAATCGATGATCTTCTTTATGCATGATCAGCTCTTGTAGCAGTCCGGATTGTTTCGACAGAGACCGGAAGGTGACGGCAGTTCTCGAATTTCGATAGAGGCTGGAAGGTGACGGCAGTTCTCGATAGTTCTCTGCGGTCACATCGACATCTGGCGATGTGACCGCAGAGAACGTTTGCGATAACGTATTCCTCCGGCGTTGATGAGTAAGTGCGAGAC